AATCTGTACATTTAGTGTTTTTACTATGATATGACGTGGGAAGTTTCTTTTCTTATCCTGTCTATTTGGTGTTCTATGTGCTTCCTGTATTTGTATGGGGATGTCTTTCCTTAATTTTGGGAAGTTCTCTTCTACGATCCTGTTTAAGATCTGGTCAACACTATTAACCTGAAATTCTTCTCCTTCCTCTACTCCTATAATCCGTAGATTTGGTCTTTTCATGGTGTCCCACATATCTTGTATATTCCATTCCTGTTTTGTTTTGTTTTTTTTTTATTTTCCATAATCTCTGCTTGAGTGATCCAATTCTTCAACTTTATCTCCCGTGTTGATGTTCTGTTTTCCATTTCATTCATTCTAGCAGTGAGGCTTTTCCCTGTTGTTTCAAGTTGGCTTATTGAGTTTTGCACTTCCTTCTTCATTTCTGCCTGAGTTTTCTTCAATGTTTCTATCTCTTTTGTGAATTCATTCAGAAGTTTATCCCTATCTTCTTTTAGCTCTTTGATTTGTTTGTTCATGTTTTATTTATTTAATTGTTTTTTAATGTCTTTTTGAGACACAGTCTCCCTGTAGCCCCAGCTGTCCTGGAACTCACTATATAGACCAGGCTGGCCTTGAACTCACAGATCCACCTGCCTCTGCCTCCCAAGTGCTGGGATTAAAGCCATGTGCCACCACGCCCGGCTTTTGTGTTTTTAAATTCGTTGAATTCCTTGATCATGTTTATGATTGTTCTTTTAAATTCAGTGTCCTGGGTTATCTCTAGGTGCTTCTCCTTGTAGAACTCTTCTAGGTACAGGGTTCAGGTTCTCTCAGGTTTATTTTTGAGGGAACTGATGGCTTCAGATCAGCTATTCAGGAGTACCCACCAAAGCCCAATTCAGGTTCTAGCCAGGCACACTCAGGCTTCCTTCACCATGTGGAGGCTGGATCTGGGGGCTCTCAGGCAGTCCCCAGCGTTCTCAGGCCCTCTGCCTGAGGGAGGCCAGAGAGAGGCCAGAACTCTGCATTCTCTGGGGGGGTCTGCTGAGATCAGAGCCTCTACACCAATGGAGGTCCAAACTCACCCTCTCAGACTGTCAGGATCTCAGCCTTAGCCTTCCAAAGCCAGATGGCCCTGAGGCCTTGGAAGGGGCCTCACAAAATCCCAGGTAGGGTGATGGGTATGGCACAATTAAGGGAAGCTCACCACCACGTGGAGGCAAGATGGAGGGGCGGGCTCTCAGGCAGTCCCCTGTGTTCTCAGGCCCTCTGACCTCTCCTCAGTGCCAGAACTTGGCACTCTCTGGGGGTCTGCTGAGATCAGAGCCTCTACGATGGAGGTCCGAACCCACCCTCCTGAGTGAAACATCTTTTGTTTTTGTTTTTGCTGTTGTGTGTGTGTGTGTGTGTGTGTGTGTGTGTGTGTGTGTGTGTGTATACCTGTGGAGGTTAGAGAACAGCCTGTTAAAATCAGATTCCTCTTTGTATCATGTGGGTCCTAGGAACCAATTCAGGTCTTCAGGCTTTGTAGCAAGGGTCTTTATGCCTGAGCCATCTCATTGGCCCCGAGTGAGGGTTTGCATGGGAAACGAATCACTTTGCTAGCTACAAAGTTATAGAGAAAGGATTGAGATGGAGACAGAGTTCTGCCTGACTGCCCCTTCATGCCCAGCCAAGACCCCTTGGGCTGCACATAGGTCTCGGGAAGAAATGTGCACTGGGATGCTCTGATGTTCCCAGGTCCTACGGTGGACCAGTACCCAAAAGGATCAGGAACAGGTTTAGGAGGCACAGAGGGTCAGAAGTTCACCAGATCAGGTCTGTGGGGCAGCA